GAAGAAGGGTGACAAGAAGAAGAATTCTGATTCTAAGGATGAGAAGGCTCCTGAAGTCAACCAGGTTGGCCGACTCTTGAACACTTACGCTACGGGGAACCGGATCACTTGCCTAAAAGCATTCGTGATGTTGACGGCGGAGGACTCGTCCGACCTCGAGTTCGATGATGAGGAATCCGAGGATGCTGAAGAAGTCAGCGAGGAGGAATCTGATAGCGAAGCCAGCGATGATGAGTAGCATCGGAATTACTACCTATATACCCCTCTGTCGTTGTTAGGAAGAAAAGTAGTGTGGATTATTGAATTGCAGCCGTGGGATAATGATGTTATGTTTTTTGAATGGTAGTGTTCGTGTATAAAAACCCCAGACATAAAGTGTTATGAATCCTGCCTTTTCATTGTAATGGTTCAAGTGCCCAATGCTACTACTGAGTACTAGGTAGCTATTGTTCTTGTATGATGAGTCAACAATCGACAACCCGCTGGCCAACTGGTTAACTACAAGCATTGTAGGTGTAGTAAATCCTGCCGCTGTCCACCGCCCACTCGCTCTCCACTGCACAAACCCGAACCCCACTGGCTCAAACCGTATCATATCGCCTCTCCGTTCCCAAGCAGCAATTTTCATCCGACCAGACGACCCTCGATATTCGCCCCTCCTACCCACCCCCCTCGTCAACCCACCCTTTCCTACCTACCCCGTTGTCGTCTCCTGGTTAACACCGCAATCATGGCTACCAACGGTGATTACACAGACGATGAATCCCAGCCTGGATCCCCCATGCTCGATGCGAACGGTCACGATGACATCGAAGATCAGGAGCCCCTCGACCTGGAGGAGAAGCCCTTGAAGTCTGCGATGAAGAACTCTGGAGTGCCCTCCCTCCCCCAGCCTAAGCGGCCAGAGCTGCCCGAGCAGCCCAACCCAGAGACCCTCGACCTGTCCACACTCACCCCTCTGACGCCCGAGATTATTGCGCGCCAGGCCACGATCAACATCGGTACCATCGGTCACGTCGCTCACGGAAAGTCGACGGTTGTCAAGGCCATTTCCGAGGTTCAGACTGTCCGTTTCAAGAACGAATTGGAGCGAAACATTACCATCAAGCTGGGTTATGCCAACGCCAAGATCTACAAGTGCGACAACCCCGAGTGTCCCAGACCGACTTGCTTCAAGAGTTTCAAGAGCGAGAAGGAGATCGACCCGCCTTGTGAGAGAGATGGATGTTCCGGTCGCTACAGACTATTGAGACATGTTTCGTATGTTTCTGTCACCCGGTCCCTTGGAGCCAACAAGCCCCGCCGCTAACAGATGATCCTCTCTGCTGTAGGTTCGTTGACTGCCCCGGTCACGATATTCTCATGAGTACTATGCTTTCAGGTGCCGCTGTCATGGACGCTGCCCTCCTTTTGATCGCCGGAAACGAAACTTGCCCCCAGCCTCAGACTTCGGAGCACTTGGCAGCTATTGAGATCATGAAGCTCAGCCATATCATCATCCTGCAAAATAAGGTGGATCTCATGAGAGAGGATGGAGCTCTGCAACACTACCAGTCGATCCTGAAGTTTATCCGCGGTACCGTCGCCGATGGATCTCCCATCATCCCCATCTCCGCTCAGCTGAAGTACAACATCGACGCTGTCAACGAGTACCTGGTTTCGCACATCCCGGTCCCTGTCCGTGATTTCACCGCTTCCCCTCACATGATCGTCATTCGGTCCTTCGATGTGAACAAGCCCGGTGCTGAGATTGAGGAGCTGAAGGGTGGTGTTGCCGGTGGTTCGATCCTCACTGGTGTCCTGAAGCTGAACGACGAAATCGAGATTCGTCCTGGTCTCGTTACTAAGGACGAGAACGGCAAGATCCAATGCCGGCCCATCTTCTCCCGGGTTATGTCCCTCTTCGCTGAGCACAACGACCTCAAGTTTGCCGTGCCTGGTGGTTTGATCGGTGTCGGTACCCGTGTCGACCCTACTCTGTGCCGTGCTGATCGTCTCGTTGGTTTCGTTCTGGGTCACCGTGGACGCCTTCCTGCCATTTACACTGAGTTGGAGGTCAACTACTTCTTGCTCCGTCGCCTGTTGGGTGTCAAGACCGCCGATGGCAAGCAAGCCAAGGTTGCCAAGTTGACCAAGAACGAGGTTCTCATGGTTAACATCGGTTCCACGGCCACTGGTGCCAAGGTTGTGGGTGTGAAGGCCGATGCCGCCAAGCTCAGCTTGACTAGCCCCGCCTGTACTGAAATTGGCGAGAAGATCGCCATCAGCCGCAGAATCGAGAAGCACTGGCGTCTGATCGGATGGGCCAACATTGTCGCGTAAGTTCTCCCTTTTCTCCGTGTGCTCCCGATCCTCAGACTAACTTTGAACCAGCGGCAACACTCTTGAGCCTGTCCTGAACTAAAACAAGCTATTGGTAGCTTGAAGAGTCTCAACTTGGTCCAACCTGGAAATGGTTGACGAAGACATTGTAGTCTAGTTGATAACTAGCCTTGATGGACTGGGTCTACTCTGAAATAGAAGGGTTTACGGTAATGAAAGCGCGTGTCGGGTTGATTCCCTGAATAGAGAACGCAGTAAGTCCAATCTTCGCCTATCTCACCTGCTGGGGAGCACGGAGGAGATTTTCCCAAACTCCCGCCGGCCCATCCAGAGGTTTGCAGAGATAAAGAGGCCATGCATGCAGCAGGATGGATAGGCAGATTGGAGGCTGAAGTAGCATGGCTGGAGTTGGTGCGCGACGGCTACTTCTTTTGACGTGTGTTATGACGCTATTCTGTGGAAAGTCTTTTTCTTCATCTCTTTTTTCTGTTCATTCTTATTGTTCGGTCCAAGATACATGGCCTCTTTTCTTTGTAGATGCTGTATAGGGGGATGATGAATGCAACGAAACAAAAGTTAAGAACTTTGCTTAATGATGTTATTGTGCATAATGGTCTTCATAGTCTGGGCTCAGTCGCATTTGGTTAATCTGCATGTAGGTTGTATATTTCATTATTTGTAGGTTATTTTTTGGTTACTCACCAGGCAGAGACCCTGTCGGTTACCCATCGTCCGTGTTGAAAGCCTGTCTTGTTCTTTATTGAACCCCAAAACAGGGACACTAAGTAATGTTACATGCAGTGAAACACATCCGCAGTTGATTAAGGCTGCAAGGCAGCCACCTACCAGGTCGCCAGCTACTTCTTCGTCCTCCCTCCGCGGCATCCTTCCTCCTCATCACCTCATAGTTCGAGGAAACAGCCAACTTTGCAGCAGGTTCTATCTCGAATTCTTGCTGTGCTGCGGACTCTACCATGTATATTCTCGAGGTAAGAACCGCTGTTTAGAAACCATAATCTCTACCTTTTACCTGGTCAATTGAAAGAAGCGTCAGCTAACGCGGCTTACCGTGTCCCGAAAAGCAATTGGCGCGTCTGCTCGACCGCCCATTCTTCCCTTGGAAGAATGTCCTCGTTGGATTCTCTCTGGGACAGTTTGTGCTAGAAGGACTCTTGTCTTTCCGTCAGTACAAGGTCTTGCAGCGGACGAAGCCTCCCCAGGTTTTGGAGGGCGAGGTGTCGCAGAAGGTTTATGATCAGAGTCAGGTATACATCCATTCTACCTCCCTTAACGCGAGAGTTTACTGACGAGCGTCAACTCTTTCGCTAGGCTTATGGTCGCGCCAAAGCCAAGTTCGGTTTCTTTGCAGGTCTTTACGGTCAGATTCAGAATCTCGCGTTCATCTACGGCGATGTCCTCCCCAAGCTTTGGGGTGTTAGTGGTCTCTTGTTGGCACGGTATCTTCCAGCTCGGTTCCAGGGTGAAATCGCCCAGACACTCCTATTTCTCTTCGGTTTCAACTTGATCAGCACGGCTCTGTCTATCCCGGTTTCCTACTACAATACCTTCGTGCTTGAGGAGAAGTTTGGTTTCAACAAACAGACCGTCAAGCTCTGGGTCACGGACATGCTCAAGGGTCAAATGCTGGGTATCGTGCTAGGAACTCCGATCATCAGTGCTGTTCTCAAGATCATTCAGAAGACTGGCAATTCATTCTTCTACTACCTCTGGATCTTCGGTATCTTCATTCAGGTTTTCGCCATCACCATTTACCCCATCGTTATCCTTCCTCTGTTCAACAAGCTGTCGCCCCTGGAGCCAGGCCAGATCAAGACGGGTGTTGAGAACCTTGCCAAGAAACTCGAATTCCCTCTGAAGGAGCTGCATGTCATTGACGGCAGCAAGCGCAGTGCTCACAGCAACGCCTACTTCTACGGACTTCCCTGGAAGAAGCACATCGTCATTTATGATACTCTGATCGAAAAGAGCGAGCCTGAAGAGGTTGTCGCCGTGCTCAGTCATGAACTCGGCCACTGGAGCTTGAGCCACACTACCAAGCTGTTTGGTATCGCTCAGGTACGTTCCTCAAATTCCTGGTTTCTCGAACTATTACAGGAGATGGGCTAACGTCAGGATAACAGTTCCACATGTTCTACATCTTCGCGCTGTTTTCCGCCTTCGTGAACAACAAGTCCCTGTATCAGTCATTTGGCTTCCACAGCCAGCAGCCCATTATGATCGGATTCCTCTTGTTCTCCGACGCCCTCGCTCCCATGGACGCTGTCGTCAAGCTGTTGATGAACATTCTCAGCCGCAAGTTCGAGTTCGAGGCTGGTACGTGTTCATCCCTCACGTTATCCACTTTGCTATATTCTGACTGCAACTGACAAATCGCAGACGCCTTCGCCGTTGGGCTCGGATACTCTGAGGAACTAGCGCAGTCTCTTCTCAAGCTCCAGATCCAGAACCTCAGCACTATGGATGCTGACTGGATGTACGCAAGCTACCACTACTCTCACCCTATTCTTTCGGAACGCCTTAAGGCGCTTGGCTGGAAGGGCGGAAAGGTCACCAACCTCAAGGAGGAAGACAGCGAGAAACCGGTCAAGGCCGCGGATCGCGAGCTGTGAGGCACTTCACTTCAAGTTGAGATCTTTGGCAAAGCTTAGCCTCCTGTTCTGCAATTCGTGGAGTACGGGAGCCGTCAAGCACTTTGGTACATGACACTGTAATTGACAATTTGTTGGAATGGTATAGTGAATTCAAAGAACTTAACAAAAGAAGTAAGAAAACAAACCAATGACAACCTCCTATGTATATTCGCCTTTGATGCGCCCAATGCTGTATGCATATCTAAGTTGAACCCCGAATCGATAAAAGCGAGTCCCAGTCAAAAAAATAAAAGCCGATGCAAACCATGGTCCACCGTACCAACAGCAGGGATATTGTTGCAATACTTCATCCGGTCTTCAAGCATCGGCGTCGGCCTTGGCCTTGGCCCGTTTCTCCGCCAATCTGCGCTCCTTCTTCAAGCGCTTCCTCTCTTCCTTGTCGATGGCCCCAGACGCCGGGTCCTCTTGATCTTGCTCCATGTTGACATCTGCGTCCATGGGGTCTTGCGAGCCCTCTAGGGCCTCACCCTCTTGTTGGAACTTCTGAGCGTCTTCCCAATCTTGGCCCTGCTCCGCCTCGGTGGTCTGCTGCGCATCGCCATCCTCTCCGGCCATGAGCTTCGCCAAGGTCAGATCCCGACCCAGGACCTCGCCCGCCAGACCGGCCTGCACGCGCTTCAGATTGTGCAGCATCAGGTTGGGGGCGGCGGCCGTGGTGCGCGACAAAGGGCCATGTTCACTGATTCCGGCGTTGGGTTGGAGAGCGGGGTCCGTCGCGGCACGGTCGAGGTAAGCAGCGAGGAAGTCGTGGGCAGCCGACTGGGAGATCGGTCTGGATGAGATGATGGTTGTCGGGGGGAGAGCCGAGGGACCTTGGGCGGCCATTGTGATCGAGAGAGAAGCTTTGCTTCGTTGCGAAGTGTTCAGCGGTAGTGTGCAACTTTATGTAGTTTTTTTTTTTTTTCTTCTCCGGGGAAAGCAGCGTATAGAAAGTCGTCAGTGGGGGGCGATGAAAGTTGGTTCGTAGTGCTTGGTGATGGGAATTTTGCGACAGAGATTGCGCCTGGAGGTAATCGGTGTGTATGCGTGGAAGTGCCTGTGCCAACCAAACGGGGAATCGAATCTGGAGAAATGGAGATGGAGATGCGGCGACAGACCGCGGGCGGGCAGAAAAAAAGTTGGTGGTGTAAAGGTCGGAGAGGGTCCGTGCGCTGGTGTTCAATTTTCGTCCTCCGTCACTCTCACCTGCTCAACTCACTCAACTTCACTCTCCCTCCCTCCACTTACGATCCTCCTGTCGGTGACCCGGTTGTTTGCTCGATCGCCGTCTCTCCTGGCCTCAATTCCCTCCGTGCAATCCGACGCCATGATCTGCTTCCAGTGCCGGGCTGTGCCCGCCACTCTCCGGTCTTCCATGACCGCGGCCACCAGGTACGTGGTTGCTTGCGATGCCTTTCCAATTCCACCACCACCTAGTTTCCGCCAATATACCACCAACCTGTCCCCCCTTTCCCCTCCCCTCTCTCTCGACATTCACAATCCTCAGCGTCAACCCGAAAGGATTCGCAAAGCCCCCGAACATAGCGCACCACCTTTCCGTCACTCCCCGAATCCCCAAAGACTAACCCCGTCGTGAATTCTAGAATCCCCATCTCCGCACACGCCGCCGCCGCTGCCCGCGCATCAACAGCAAGAGCCGCCACCACCACCACCACCACCTCAATCCGTACCCTCATCACCTCCTCATCCGCCTTCTCTCCCCTTCGCGCACAGCTCTCCCACCAACCACGAACCCCCTCCACCATCCTCTCAACCTCCGCCTTCCCCCACTCCTCCACCATCACATCTCCCGCTGCTCAGCAACAATCCCGATCCTTCTCCGCCAGCGCCTGCCTGCTCGGAAAGCGGTCAACCTACAACCCGTCGCGACGGGTGCAGAAGCGGCGCCACGGGTTCCTGTCCCGGGTCAAGACCCGGACTGGACGGATGATCATTCAGCGGAGAAAGGCCCGCGGCCGGAAGAACTTGAGTTGGTAGATCTTTCGGTTCTGGTCATCCTGAGGGGGTGGGGGGAGACGGTGGTGGCTTGTTTCCGTCCTAAGTGAACCTTTTTGCTGCGCCAATGGGTCGTGCGTGTATCTCGCTGAGGGGGATTCGCCCGTCTCTTCTTTTGTTCTTCTGTTGTGTTGTGTTGTGCTGCATATTCTTTTGAAGGTTGACTCGCATTGGATGTCTCGGGGGCTCTCGTTACGAGAGGGTATATGGGTCTTCGAGGGGATGGGTAGCCTGTGGGTGGAAGATCTCAGTTAGGAATGCGTTTGCGTGCTTCGGCTTAGAGGAAGTATGTTAAGTGTGGTGCTCAGCTGTGGTCGGGTGAGGAGAGTGCGTTTGTCGGCGGGTGGATGATGGTCTCGATTGAGATATGATGGTTGTATTCTACCACCTTTTTCTTTTTATATTTCCTATTTTGTACCATATACATACATACACCTTTGGCATGGATCCTTACATGTGCGATCGGACCCGGAGGGTTCGTGTTCATGTTAAGACCTGACTGGCTGTCTTGGCTCTTACGTGTAGCTTGCAGGTTGAATGACGAGGGAATGGCAGGTTAAGATGATAGGTGTAAGTGTAAACTATTGTTCTGCACCGACAAAAGACAACAGGGTCTCCAGCGCTGGGGAGCCTATTTGGACTCATACAGCACTGCTCTGTCTATCTGGCATTGGAGAAAGTTATTTACATATATCTCTGTACGTCTCTCTTCAAGGAGATGTAGCCATGCTCGTTTCAGGGCTTAGCAAGACTGCTTTCTAGTCTGATTTATTGCCGCGTATCGTCTAAGCGTTCAAGGTACTGTAGTATACCGTGTGGTTCTACTTCGGGTTCATAACGTTCACCGAGATGAAAAGGATCACTCTTCATCGTCATCCTCGGAGCCGGATTCTTCCTCCTCGGAGTCCTCGTCTTCGGAGCCGGATTCCGAGTCGTCGTCATCATCGGAATCCTCGTCATCCTCTTCCTCCTCCTCGTCATCGTTGTCATCACCGGTCTTGAGTCCGTAATCGTCTTCGAACTCTTTGAGGGCTTGTACCTTGGGCGTGAAGCCCGAAGCTTGTAGGCCTTCTTTGATTGTCTGGATCGATGAGTTAGCCAGGGCTCATGCCAAGAGTTTGAGCAGGGGGTTTCTGGATTGGGGTTGACATACTTCCTCCATTACAGTAGCGCACGTGATGACGATGTTGGCCGTCGTAGGGTTGAACAAGGGCAGGATGATCTTTCTCAAAGCACCCTTGACCTCATCAACGGTGATGGCTCGCACCCGCTTGAGCATGTTCTCCTTGTAGTCACTGGGCAGACGACGGACCACCTGGCGAATGAAGCTGTCCGATGCGGCATTGGCAATGGTGGCCTGTTCGTTGGCGAAGCTCACCACGATGCTGCTGATCGCACCCTCCATCATCAGGGGATCGAACGCAATGGCACCAGAAAGGTGGTCTTCGACGATCTGCTTGCTGGAGTCGAAGGCCTTGTGGGCATTGGGCGAACGGTACACATCGAAGTTGACGAATCCGGTGTCGATGTTGTAGGCGAAATTCGTGCCGTAGGCCAGACCCTTGCCACGGACGGCAACCCAGAGAGGACCTTCGACGGCGTTCATGTACGCAATCGCGACCAGCAGGGCAGGCAGGTTCGGGTCGTCGTAGGTGTCCAAGCCTCGCGCCGTGGCGTAGGCGAAGGAGGAATCAATGGTCGGCATCGGTACCACATACGACTTGCCGCCGAGTTGCTGACCAGCCTCACTGAGCAAGGGACGTCTGGCTGTGATGGGGCGAAGGGGAGCAACTGCTCCCAGCCGCTCAGCATATGGCTTCCAAGCCGAGACCGGGTTCTGCAGTTTCTCGAGGTCTGCAATGACCACAACCCGCATGTTTTCGAACCGGAAGAGAGCTTGGCGAATCTCCTCCATGCGTGCAACGACGGTTTCCGGCTCGTCAGCCAAATGCTTCTTAATCCGCTTCAGATAGCGGGCCTTGACCAAAGTGCTGCGGGCGCGCACGATAGATTCAGCCGCGTAGTGAACCATGACATGTACTGCCGCCAGCATGTCGTCGCCGCTTCGCTTGGAGTCTGGGACATCGGAGAGAAGGCGTTTGGTGATCGCGCGCAGTCTCTCAACGTCGAAAATCGAGTTCCAAGAAAGCTCCTGAAGCCATGCGACTGCGGTGCTGTACTTCTCCAACTCCACCTGGAAAGAAATCCGCAGCATTTCGGAAGTTCCCAGGCTTCTGGCGCCTTCCATAGAGTAACCAACCGTATCTCTTTCCAATTCAACAACAACCTGTTCAAAATCGATGGTCTTTCCATCACGCTGGATCGGCAGGTTGAAAAACGCTTCCGTGTACACAGAGAGAAGAGGGCGAAGTTGCACTGGAACGGCTGCGGCTGAGATAAGTAGGGAGAGTTGAACGAAGCTGCTTGGGATGTGCTCAAAGTGTATGAACAAGGGCAGGTCAGAGCCATCAGCATCCACTAGGCTCTGAGACTTGTTTTCGGGACGACCCAATTTCAGAGCAGTGCCCGACCGCGCAGTTGTCGTTTCGACGAAATGGATGGATTCAACGCCAGGAATCTGAAACTTCTCCAGCATGTCTTTAGGTATTTCCTTGTCGTTCTCGGCCTTGGCTTTTTCAAGCTTGTCTGCGAGCTTCTTCAAGCCATCCTCGCCCAGCCGCTTCTTCTGTTCCGCAACCCGGGCTTCTTCCTCCTTTTTGAGTGTCTCAGACATTTTCACAGATGGAACACCCAAGATTGTGACGTGATTGGCGTCAGAAATCCATCTCTTGATGAAGCTGCGCCAATCATCCTCGCTCCACTTCTCCAGCACGTCGTACTCCTTCAGGCTCGCGACATCGAGCATGGTGGACCCGTCCCGTTTTCCGAAGAGGAAATCAGAGATCACATACTCAGCGAAGGAGGAAGCTGACGTCTCGGTCGAGAACTTCCAAGTCCGCCGTTGTCGGTCGATGCATTCCCTGAGATATTTCATATCGAGTTCTTTCTCCATTGCATCCCTGAGAACCTCGAAGAAGCGCTGCTCCACCCGAGCAATCTTCTTCGTTTCGACACTAGTCAAAGTGAAACGGATTTCGATACTGGGGTGGTCCTCGGTGGCATAATAGACTGCGCTGGCGAGCTGCTCCTTCTCCACCAAAATGTTGTCTAGCAGCGAAGCAGACGACCCAGCCAGATACAACAGGGCAACGTTGACAGCCCCAGCTATCGATCGTAAGTATCTGGCTTATACACTGGAGAATGAACCTCGACTTACTGTTAACGGGGTCTATGCAATCAGGACCAAGAAACCTGATCTCGATCTCTCCAAAAGACTCGTCTTCTTCCGGAAATTCGACCCTCTGTACGATGGACTTCTCCAACGGAGGTGCCTGCTTAGAATCCACCCAAGGGCGGGTGAAAGGCGCATCTGGGCTAGGGATGACATCTAGAATGGTATCTTCAAACTTGTCCAAAACACTCAGCATGTTCTCATGATCTACCTCACCCGTGATAATCAGACACAGGTTCTTAGGTTGATACATCTCACGATGGAATGCTCGGATACGCTCCGCAGTGAGGACACGAAGCTGCTCCATCATACCACCAGTCTCATAACGGAAACCTACACCTTCAGGGTAAGTCAAGCGTCGGGCAGTCAAGTCGATCAATTCGGCGGAGTTGTTTTGTACTCCTTGCATCTCTGAGTAGACCACACCTGCGTCGTTTCCAGTTCCATCGATGTGGTGGACCTCAGTATAGCACCCTTCATCAGTCAAGGTCGGAGCGATCACATGCTCTAGGTACACAGGTAAGATCTGAGCGAAACCTTCCCAGCCCGCTGTGTCCAGCGTATAAGCCGTGTGGTCAGTGGCAGTCCATGCATTAGTACTAGAGTACACTCGCGTTGCGAGCTTGTCTAGGAATCCTTTATATCTGTAATTCCGCGACCCCATGAAGCACAAGTGCTCCAAGGTGTGGGGAGCTCCTGAGTCGTCATGGATCTCAGTAGCTAGAACAAAATATCCTGTGACCTTAGGACCCTTCTGGTCGATGACCACGACCCTCATGCCCGTCCTCGTTGACTCATACTGAACGAACTCGCTGGGCGAGTAGTCCGGCTTGAACCTCTGGAGGAGCTTGAAGTGACCCTTCTGGCTTGGTGACATCTTGAAAGCCGACCCTGCGAACCTGCGAGGATAAGTTGTGGTCACTCCCCGTATCGAGGAACTAGTGAACTGTCAGCACGCCATAATTGACACCCTTTGTAGTATTACGCCCAACGAGGGTTTTAAAGATAAGATGATAAAAGCTAGCAATGCTCTGGGGTTGAAACATTGTGATTGAGAAGATGGATGCACGCTTTTTTTTTTTTTTTTTTCCCCCCGGAAAATGCTAATCTTGCGATACTTTGTGATTGAAGATATTTGCATAACAGTAACAGCAGTTGACAGGGACCATGGTATTTGGGTTGCTAACCGTACCAACAGGTCTGGTGATAACGACAAGTGGCGGAGGGGCACGTTTTGGGCTCTTTTTTCTTTTTCTTGTCTCAAACTCAAGCGAAGGGTAGCGACATGAACTTACATGGATCGAGAAGAGGTTGCCCGAATCAGGCTCCGTGAGAGAAACAGTAGCGACACGATGGGCTCTGCTTGACAGCAGTGACTCTCAAAAGGAGTTTTCAGAGAAAAGTGTCGTGAGCACTGATGGCTGCTGAGAAAAGGTTGAACTCAAACTGGACTGCAACGGTTCGGAGTGGAGTTTTGGGTCCCGATATCTGATACAGTCGTAGGCCTCGAAGATCAACCATGCCACTGGAGCTGGTAATGGCTATTGGCCTATGACGTGACGACAACACACCTTCAGAAATCACTGCGAAATCGTACGCTCAAGGACCAAGACCCACGAATGAAGAGCGCAGTGAAACGAAGGCTGCATGAATAAGTCGAGTGGGGAGTAAGTACTCCGTACTCCGCAGTTCGAGCTGATCGCAATTGCTCCATCTCCGTCTATCACAGCCAAGGCGGTGAGCGGTGAGGTCACATGGTATTTCTGGTTGTTGATCGATTCAATAGTTCCTATTCCTGTTGCACTTGCTGTTCTTCAACTTGGAACTATTTTCTTATTGCTCGCTCCAGGAAGTCTCACCTGAGATACAAGGCTGGTACCAGTCGGACCAGCATAATAAAGCATCCGCCCTCTAATTTGCGCCATCTCTGCGACGGTTTCCCCGACCTTGTTGGCCCGCGGAGGACACGATACAAGATGCCCGGCAAGATTTTAGAGGAGGGGATCTGTCAATCGGTCCTGACTTTCGTGACTGATGGCACTTATCCTTCCTCAGAAAAGACTATTGCGGCCGAATTGCCTGTCTCTGCTCTGTCTAAGGAATTGGAACTGATCTCCAAAGCTAGAAAGCAAGTTGAGGTGAGTCGATGATTCGAGACACGAGCCCCGCATCA